GCAGCAAATCCAAAAATTCAATGGGGAAACCGGATTCACTGAATGACTGTGTTACCAACTTAACAGCGGTCATTCACTTAACAACGGTGGCAAGAAAGGTTGTAAAATGGAAAAATTCACTTAATAACCATTCGCTTAGCAATGGAAAGGTTGAGCTCAGTTGTAGTCATAACTCAAGGACTAGCCGTATTTGGTGTGCAAGGGCAAAAACGGAATAGCTGACGTTGGGGTGCTAAACTGGATTGGCGCCTGGATAAGGAACAGACCCAGACAAAGCAAAACACAATAAAATATGCAAACTTTCAAATCCGACAGAACGCCTCCTCCAAAGAGAAATTCTGTGGGCCCCACAAACTTCTTCTGTTTGTGCAAAAAGAAAAAAGACTGTGCAGGATTTTGAGTCCTTTCCACCTTTACTGATTCAACGGGATTTGATTAACCCCTTTTTTTAAAGCCCAAAATTCTCCCCAAAATTCTTGCCTGTCCCAAACCTGGCATTTAAAGATAGAGCTAGCCTGAATATGGAAGTTCTACCTTTCTCTCTCCCCCTCCCTCTCCCTCCCATCTGTCTCTCCCTCCCTCCTTCTCTCTTCCTCCCTCTTCTCTCCTTCCCTTCCTTCTCTCCTTCCTTTCTCTCCACCTCTCTCCCTCTTCTCCTGCCCTTCCTCTTTCTATCCATCTCTTCCTCCCTCCCCCTTCTCTCCTTCACTTCCTTTCTCTCCACCTTTCTTCCTCTCTCCCTCTTCTCCTGCCCTTCCTCTTTCTCTCCACCTTTCTCCCTCCCTCCCTCTCTTCTTTCTCTCCACCTCTCTTCCTCCCTCTTTCTCTCTCTCCCTCCCTCTTCTCTCCTTTCCTTCCCCTCTTTCTCTCCACCTTCCCCTCTTCCCCACTCACACACAGGTCTAACCCCCTACCAATTGCTTCCTTAAGGGAATTCTCTAACCCAGGGGATATACTGCTCCTGATCATTGAGGCTCACTAAATGAAAACACCAACCCACCTTACTATCCCCATCGCCATAATTCAACGATTTCTCCAGTTTTGAGCCTCCAAAGCCATGTTGGGATCCTGAACAAACTGCTCAAAGACGTTGGCTAGCAAGATTAGCGTACAGACTTTATAAAAATGTGATAATTGATTATCGAACTATTCTCATCGGGTCCTTTTTTTATTATTTTATTGTTCAAAGGTTTCACCTCATTTTTCTATTCAAAAAATTAAAACTCCAAAATCCAAAGGTGAAAAAAAAATCATATTTTTTCTTTCTTTTTCATGTTCTTGGCTAATTTCATTCCTATTATTTTTACTTCCATTTTGTTTTGTCTATGAGATTCTTTTTTCAAAAGGCAACTGGATTTCCTTGGTTTTTCTTTTGAAGACGTTTCCCTTCTCAATCCGAGAAGCTTCATCGGCTCTGACTGGATTCCTCACCCTCCAGCTAGAGCTGAAGAAGCTTCTGGGATGAGGGAAGGGAAACGTCTTCAAAAGAAAAAAACCAAGAAAGTCCAGTTGCCTTTTGTAAAAAAATAAAATAAAAAGAGCATCTTTGGGACTTTTCCGTTTACGTTCTCATTTTCCTTCTTTTTTTAATGATTGTCAGCCTCCTAGAGTAGTCCCGGGGCGTGACAGGCGGCGAATAAATTTAACAATTCATGAATTAATAAAATATTTTTCTTAAAGAATCCCCCAAATCGTGGAAACAGGTAGGGCTTCCTAATGCAACCGGCTTCTAGACGGTTTTGCAAAAAAAGCCTCCTCCCGCCTTGCGCATTTTAGTGCAACGCCCCCCCCCCCCAAAAAAAAACCCGCTTTCCCCGTGCAAACGCAACCCGGGCGCGTCCCGGGGATGCGATCTTTGCACACACCCTACGGAGGGTGTGTGGGGGGGGTGCGCGTGGAAGCGCCCCCCCTCCCCCGATTTTGCACTCTTCCTTCCACTTTCCCGCCTCCCCTCCCCCCCCCCCCCCCCGCTGCAAGCTACGCAAGTGGGGAAGAACGCGGTGACGGCATCCGCCGGCCTCAACTGAATTCCTCGGCAGTTGAAAAAGCAAAAGTCGGCCGCCGAGGTGAGTCGGGCGACCGTGAGAAGGGAGGAGCGGGGCGAATGGAGGTTTCTTTTTGCGGGAAGGGATGGCGTGGAGAGGGGGGGCGGGGGGCGGGCGGCGCAGACAGAGAATAGAATAAGAGTTGGAAGGGACCTTGGAGGTCTTCTAGTCCAACCCCACCCCGCTTAGGCAGGAAACCCGGAGATCGGAGATCTAAGGTGGGCTGCCTGGGGCGAGGGGAAGGAGAGAGAGGGCGGTGACTTTCAGCCCAAGCCTTTAACCAAAGTCGGAGAAGTGAACAGCCTTAGAGAAGGAAAAACCCGAAATTATGAAGTTGGGGAAGGGAGCGACAATCCCTTCATAAACTTCCCAAATAGAACTTTTTTCGCGGGATAACTGGGGCCAGAGTCGTTTTGGATAGTGAGATGGGCGGATATAAACGTGATCGGTTGATTAATTGATTGGGAAAGGAGGGGGATAGATAGATAGATAGAGATGATAGATAGATATAGATAGATAGGATAGATTAGATAGATAGATTAGATAGGTAGGTAGGTAGGTAGGTAGATATATAGGTAGATAGATATAGAGATGATAGGTAGGTAGGTATAGAGATGATAGATCGATATAGAGATGATAGACAGACAGACAGACAGATATATAGATATAGATAACTATAGATACCGTAGATATGTAAGTAGGTAGATAGATGATAGATACCATAGATAGACAGATGATATCTCTACATCCACATCTCTATCATCTATCTATCTACTGTATCTATCTACCTACCTCTCTGTCATCTGTCTATGATGTCTGTCTGTCTGTCTGTCTGTCTGTCTATCTATCTATCTATCTATCTATCTATCTATCTATCTATCTATCTATCTATCTATCTAGATACTGTAGACAGATGACAGAGAGGTAGGTAGGTAGATACTGTAGATAGATGATAAGAGATGTGGATGGAGAGATATAGAGATGAGAGATGGAGAAATGGAGAGATTTGGGTGATAGAAGATAATCATGGAGATATGAGGATGGTGAGATGGATAAAGATATGTGGATGGATAGATAGATGGATGTAAGACATGGAGAAATGGCAAGAGATGTGGATGGAGAGATGGAGAGAGAGACACGGATGAATTGATATGGAGAGATAAATGACATATAAACAGTTGTGATGAGATTGGATGGATAGATAGAATTCTTTATTGGCCAAGTGTGATTGGACGCACAAGGAATTTGTCTTGGTGTAAATACTCTCAGTATACACAAAAGAAAAGATAACGTTTGTCAAGAATCATCAAGCACAACACTTAATTGTAGTCATAGGGTACAATAAGCAATCAAATATACTAGGAAACAGTCAGTATAAATCGTAAGGATACGAGTGGGAGGGGATGGATGATAAGGAGTGAAGAGAAGATTAATAGTAGTCGCAGTAGTGCAGACTTTGTAGATGATAAACATATTTGTAGTGAGAGAGATGTGGATGAAGAGAGATGTGATAGATGTAGGCATGATTGGAGATATAGATGTAATATACCTATCTTTTATCAAAAGGCTAAATGTTCCTAATTTATTAAATTGCATGCTGTTATTAAAAGAGGTAAGATCTTTTAATGAAGTAGATGTCAGCTGTCACTCTGGATGTTTTATAAGGATGTACTGGGATATAATCTCATTCATCCAGCGATTGCATCAAAACCCTCATTTTAGGCTGCATTCTAGCAATTCATTTTATTAGAATTCTTTTATTGGCCAAGTGTGGTTGGACACACAAGGAATTTGTCTTGGTGCAAATGCTCTCAGTGTACCTAAAAGAAAAGATACAAGTCAAGAGTCAAGAACCATAAGGTACAACATTTAATGATAGTCATAGGATACAATAAGCAATCAAATCATACTAGGAGTCAATGATTTAAGAAGTTTATGATTTAAGAAGAGACTGGACAGCCACTTGTCTGCAATGGTATAAGTTCTCCTGATTGAGCAGGGGGCTGGACTAGAAGACCTCTAAGGTTCCTTCCAACTCTATTCTGATTGAGTTCTGCTCATTTACTTTCTCGGTCTTTGAGAAGGATAGCTTGAGTCCCTCCCCCCCAGCCCCCTTTTCCCTTTGTGCGTCTACACGTGTTAAAGCCTTCGCGAGGAAACACCGGTGCATCCAAACGACACGAGAGACCCCGACACGTCCCGGGAAACTCCCCCACTCTTGAGGTTCCCCCTCAATTTAAGGTCTGAACGGGTGGTCGCGCGTGTGTGCAGACACGGGTTAGGTGGGTTCACACGATCCAGAGGTCCGTGGCACCGTGGGAGCTTGCCAAAGGGATGGTCTCGTCTCCCCGCAGGGCCGTGGGGAGGAGTCGGGGGTGGGGGAGAAACCCCTTCTGAACGTCTATTTCCCCCCCACTAGGAAGCATGGCCCATACCCTTCCCGTTCCCTGCCCGGTCAAACTCGGGACGGTGAAACTCGAGAGCCCCGAGGCTCGTCTGCACGACTACGTCAAGCAAGGCAACTACGTCAAAGTGAAGAAGCTGCTGAAGAAAGGTAATTCGAGGGTGGGTGTGAGCGGGAGAGGCGGGTGTGTCTCGGCGCTGTTTCTTTTGCTTTCGTGTTGCAAACACGGGTCTGTTTCTTCCAAAGGCGTTTTGTCTAGCAAAAGATGCGTGCAATGCACTTTTAGATACGGGTGCCTCGTTGTTGCTCCCTCTCCCATCCCGGGCTCGTGCAAGCGAAGAGGGCCTTGCACGCGGAGCTTGCACGCTTTTGCGCTGCAAAATTGCAAAGTGGGATTTCGGCAGAGCTTTTCGGCTCGGGCTTGATTCGGGGCAGGTGCAAACATTTTGCACGAGTGCGTCGTTTCCCCTTTCCCACCTGCCAAATCCGGTGCTGGATGCACCCTCCTGCCCCCCCCCCCATCCTCCGCCTTTGCCCGGGGCCCCAAATAGAATCTGTTCTGGAGTATTTTCATTTCATTTGCATTTTGCACGCGTGTGATCCCGAGTTACATTGGACGGGTAGAAGAAAAAAGCGTACAGGAGGATTGTTTTTAAGGACGTGGAATAATCTGCCGACTTGTAAAACGGGCATCGTCCTGGGCCGAGGTTTACACACGCGTCGTCGGTTCATCTAGGATGCACCCCAGGGGCGATCAAACGTGTGAACGAAGGGTGGCGAAATGTCGATAGCGTCCAACTATAATTTGTGATGCTATACTTTGCTATATTTTTTTCCTTTTTAATATGTGGGGATAGTTACCCAACTGAGATCAGAAGTATGAATTTTGTGTGAATCCAGGTGCAATAAAAGATGTTAGGAAAGGTTGGCTTTCCTGATCCCAATGCAAATCCGAATTGCACCAAATTCGGCCCGTTTGAGTGCAAAACTTTGCAAACAGCTGTACAATTTCGAGGCGTTCGTTGCAATAGACGCGCACATGGGCGGAATGAAGCGAGCAACGAAGCTCCACCTCTAGGTGGAACCTGATTGGTTGTCCCGGTTTCCCGATGCAAATCAAATCTAAATCCAGCGGGCTTATGGGTTCCCTTGTTTGGCCTAAAATATACGCTCTGGAAAAAGTATTTTCGTAAATAAATTAATCGTGATCGAAGTTTATTCCTGGCTGTGGAGGGAACGAAGACCACGAGGCCGTATTTGTGGTTAGGGAGGCGGTCGCTATGACCTGAAGAGCGGTGGCTGAGGGTGAGGTCATGGAAGCGCAGTAAAATTCGTTAAGACTATACTTTCAGGGATCATTTCTATAGTATCCAACTAGAGAAATGCACTCGAAAGTGATCGGCTGAGCAAACCACGAGGAGGAGGCGTAGTGTTCTCTCCTGAGCGCGAAGCCGGCAGGCGGTGCTACTTCGTGTGGCTGCCGCCTGCCTTTGATGACCGTTCCGCTTTCTCTTTACGGG